TATATATATATATAATATATATATATATTATGGCAAAGACTTGATAGATCTCTTTTTAATGATTGTTAGATTAAAAAATTTCCTCTTACTTCTGTTGAACAACTAAGTAGAACTTATTTGACAACTCTCCTTTGTTTATCATTATTAAAGGGAATGCTCAAGTTTTCAATCGGGATTTTAGATTCCAAAATATGTGGCTTTCACAAGAGGTTAATTTTGAAACTTTAGCTTCTAATTAGAATGTTTCCTTAGCCCCTGATAGTAAGGTTTTCCATTTAAGGAGATTGTGATTTAAATTCAATAGATTAAAACATGTTTTCACTTGGTGGAATAAAAATCATTTCAAAAATATATTTCTAATATGCTTATTTTTGAACAAGAAATTATCAAAATAGAACAATCTAAGGAATATAGAAATTCTAATTTTAGTGAAAGAGTTATTCTTAAGGCCAACACTAATCTTCTCAAGCTTCAAGAAATGTAAGTAGTTTTTCGAAATAAAAGGCCGCTTGCAATATTTTTAAAAATACTAAATATTTCCTTAATTAATTAAAAAATAATTATTAATCATATTCATAAAATCAAGTCTTCTGGTAATCAATTGATTGAGAATGATCAAGGGACTGTTAATTCTACTATTGAATATCTCTTTAATATTCTCTAAAGAGTTAAGAGCCTCTCCCCCCTATTAATAAATTTTTATTTCACACTTTTCTATACTCTGAAAAAAAATCCATTTATTATATTTGTACTAAAATGAATTAAAGGTCTTTTAATGAACATGAATGTTGATGATATAGCTAGCCCATATGACTTATTTGTTAATTTTTTAAAGAAGTTTTGGCAAATTATCAAATCTTATTTGGCTGATGTTATTATTAATTTCTTCAAAAGCACTCCTATACTAAATTATTTTCTAGTTCCTCTATTATTCTCATCCTAAAATCTATAAACCTTAAAATTGGAATCACTTTAAGCCTATTAGTCTTTGCAACATTTTTAATAAACTTATCAATTAACTCTTAGCCTCAAGACTTGCTAAACTCCTCACAAAATTATCTCCCCCAATCAAATTGTGTTTGTTAAAGGTAGAGCTATATCTTATAATGTTATGCTTGCCCAAGAGTTCAATTATAATTTAGATTATAAAACTTGTGATCGATGTTTGATTATTAAGCTAGATATTTCTAAAACTTATGATAACAATGATTGAGAATTTTTTATTAATATTCTTCAAATGTTGGGTTTTGATGATAAAATTGTTAGTTAATTTAGTAAATATATTAACAATGCTTGGTTTGTGATTATTAATGGCAGAAATTTTAGATATATATATATATATATATATATATATATTAATCCCTTAAAATTTTAAGATAAGGAGACCCTATTTCTCATCTTATTCATCATTGCTACTAAATACATATCCAGATGTCTTAATGTACTTTTTTCCCAATAATAAAGTACTATAAGACTAAATGTCCACATGATATTAATCATATTAGCTTTGTTGATGATTGCATTATATTTTCTAATGGTTCCATTACCTCAATTAAACTCATCAGAAAATTCTTAAAAGTTTTTAAGGGTCAATGGTTTGCTCTTTAACTCCAACAAAAGTTGTTTTATTATTGTCAAATATATGTTTCTTAGGTTCATAAATAACATAGAGAATAAGCAAAATCTCATTGTTCAAAATCTCTCTATTAGATATTTGAGTGTTTTGAATTATAAATGCTTTAAAATAAAATTTTTAATTGTCGATGTAATTTCTTCTATAAGGCCTAAGTATTATAGTTGGAAAATTCATTTTATCATTATGGGTGGTTGGCTTACTCTTGTGTTCTTTGCTTCCTTCCAATTTATTTTCTTCAAACAGTTCGCCCCTTGTTGATCTTTGTTCTATAAAAGAGAAATTAATAAATATTTTTTTTATGGGACCTCGGAACAAGTCTAAACCTATTAACTGGGCCAACTAGAGTATATTGTGCTTTCTTGCTATTGAGTGTGATTTGGGTTGTAAGTCCTTTTTTGACATAACTTTCTTTTTGCAAGCAAACATTGGTCTAATTTCTTAGTGGTTGTAATCATTGAGCTATTTACATATATAATAACAACTACCTAGATAAGCTTCCCACCACTTGCTCTTAATAAGCCAGTAACTCTCCCATTGGGAAAAGGCTCTATGAGGTTAAATGGAAAGCACAAGCCATCATTTTATGAGAATTTTAGATCAATAATATTTAGAACATTGTTAAACTTAAAAGCATCTTTCCTTATTTTATTGTAAATAAATCATCAACATCTCATGGCATTTGCTGCCTCTAATCAAATTCTTTTTAAATGATCTTCCCTTAGGGCTTTTTCTTTCAAGCATGTGTAGCGTCATAAAAGAGTTAAAAAGGAGATCTTCCACATTTTTCCCTTGATTGGAATAAAACTCTTACTAACACTTGCTCTACTCTTTGTTGAAAATTCTTAACAATTATATTCCTTTATATGATAATTTAAGGATAAAAGGAATTTAGTTACCTTCTAAATGTAAATGGTGTTATCATATTGAGAATTCTATCACTTATTTGTGAATGGAGTTGTTGTCACTAAACTATGCATTTGGATGGATGGAATTTTTAAAAAAACTTTTTTTAAATCCCGATTTAACTATTAAAGAACCCTACTGAGCGTGACTTTCCTTTTTCTCTTGTGTTTCTAAAGGACTTATTATTTTTAACATTTTATGCTTAATCTTGTGGTACATTTGAAAAGAAAGGAGTGAGGTCAAGCATAAAAATATTAAAATGAATGAGTTATGTATTATTTAGCACATTAAAGAGAATATTTTATTTTTATATAAAGCTAATTTAATTGGCTATAAAAATTTTAAAAGTTGTAAATAGGTGACTAGATACTTTAATATTGATATAGAGGCTCAACCCTACAAACTTCTTACAATTGCATATTGGATTAATATTGATATAGAGGCTCAACCCTACAAACTTCTTACAATTGTATATTGGATTAAACTTGAGAGAGGTTGGGGGAAAATTAATATTGATGGCACTATCTTCAAAGATTTCATTGATTGGGAGTTTTATTATAGATCGTTTTGGTAATTTAATTGTTTTATTTAATGGTCTAGTAGATCCCTGCAATATTATTTTTGTCGGACTCTATGCCTTTAAATATAGTCTTTATGTGGCCAATGCTTTGAGTTTTGAAAATTTGATTATTGAATTAAATGTCGCTTTAGCTATTCATTTGGTTCTCTTAAATGTACTACTATATGTAATACTAACATGGTTTACTCATACATATTTATATCATTGTAAATTCCTTTGAATTTAAACTTAATTAGGAGGGTATGAATGCGCTTATTAGTTAGCTACGCTTGGTGCTAAATGTAATTTAATTAAAAATTTTTTGCCTCATAATCTCCCTTTGGAAATAAGGGGTATGATCTAATTGGATAAAACTATTCTCCCTTATCCTAGAATTTTTAAATGATTTTTTTTTTATTTTTTTCAATTTTAGTTATTTCTTTATGATTTGCTTTGTTCTTGGTTATGAGGCGAAGACAAGTAATTATGATGGTTATGATGATGAACCTCTTCTATTTTTTCTTATAAAGTTCACAAAAGATTGGTGGAACTAGTGCGGGAATATCTTTATCTACCTCTATTTGTTACAATGCTTTTGGGGTTACAATGCTTTTGGAGTTATCATTTCCTTTTTGGATTGTTGGTAGTTCTAGTACCTAGTTATGAGTATGGGAGTCTTGATCGCTGGCTTTTTTTCAAGATTTTTTGTAATTGAGAATATTTTTTAAACTTCTCTTGTTAAGAAAATTTTTAAGTCAGTCTTTCTCTTAGGGTTCTGCCTTGCCCCCCTCTTTTGGGTTGTTGATATTTCATCCCAAGCAGCATTATGCTCTGTTGTATCATTTTTCTAAACCTAAATTACTCCATTTTCCTTATTAATTATAGCTTACTTTTTTTCTCATTTCGCTTTCACGTTACTACTAAAAATCTAATAGATCTCACACCGTTAACACTGTTTTATTTGTCAAAGTTAGTAACTTGAATTCTTATTTTGGTAATGAACTTACTTTATAGAGTAATAACTTGGCTTTGAATTTCATTTTCATATTTTCTTTTTGCAGCTGTTAAATCATATTTAGTACTCTCTTTAACTCTAGAAATTGGATTGGTTGGTTTGACTGTTGAGAAGGTGGCACTTACTTTATAACTTGCTTTTGAATTGCAACAATATAAACGTTGGATATTGTTTTCTATGCTTAATTGTTCGTTCCCTTTGGGAACATTATTACTGACAATCGGGAGCCTGGTTAATAGCAAAACTATATAAGACAATCAAGCAACTATGTTTCAGATCAAAATACAAATCGTCTCTAAAAAACATATCTCAATATTTATGCATAAATGGAACTAAAAACTTAGAGAGTCCACTCCTCAATTAAAAAACACAACAATAATAATTGGTTTGAAAAACTCATTTAAGATTCTGTCTGCTCCCTCAAGCGGCGGATTGTGCTCCTGACAGTAACAGCGCTGGCAGTACTGCATTATTTAACAAAAAAGAAGTCAAAAACTGTTGCAAGTGTTCCAAATATTCAAAAAAGAAGACACCACATGCTTCTTATGCATTTACAAATTTAATATAATTATGTATAAGAACAGTTATATATACATATGTTGATATGACATTCAGGTCAACAGCACACATTTACAAATTTAATATAATTATGTATAAGAACAGTTATATATACATATGTTGATATGACATTCAGGTCAACAGCACAAAAAAAAGTCAAATAGTGCCTTGTAATTGGCTTAAATTTGGCTTGTTTGATAAAAAACAGAGTGAAATTTGAACATACATTTTGTTCCTTTACTAAACAGGAGCATTGCAATAAAGACCAAGTTGATATTTTTAGATGCATACATATGGTGGAACCAAAATTTAAGAAGTGTTACTAAAAATAAAAACCAAGGGGTAACAAATATTTTAAGTTTAAAATTTTCCTCTCATCAACTTTTTAAAAACTATTACAAACATGTTTATTAAATTAAAAATATAATTAATATTAAATTAATACTTATTTAAATATTTAGCATGATCACACTCAAATTTCCTCACCGAATACATGTAAATATATAGGGAAATTTACATATATAACAGTTAAGTTTTTTAAGTCTTATGGATTTTCGTGTCTCCCCTAAATTTTTATATTTTCGGACAGCACTTTTATCTATGAATGAAAGTATGGATTTGACCATTAAAGAGTGTACTGAGTGCTATTTTTACATGATATCAAAAAAATGGGTGCTATGGATGTAAAAAATGAAAGTTTTGGTGTATGATAGGTAAATCAATAAAAATTCAGTGCTATGCATGAAAATGCCCCAAGCGCACGCACACGCGCACATATGTATATATATATATCATAAATTTATTTTTACGGGTAATTTTGCTTATTAAGGCCAACTCATGTCTTCACTTCCGAGTTTGAAAGTTGTAACATTGTTAATGCGCCATTAATATACAAAATATCAGTATATTTGATGATCATGAGTTGGCCGATTTTTCTTTAGGGCAAAGTAAGCTCTCGAAACCAGTATCTTGGGATGTTCACTGGTTTACAACCAATGTGCTTCGCATTTGAGCACATGACTCTAGTTCGTGTCTAATTCATGTTTGAGTTGATAAAGGAATGAACAACATGTGGCGTATGCATGCCACTTGTAGTCCATCCAAGAAATTTCGAGAGTTTTTTGGGATTATGTGCTCAACAAGAAAGAATCTCCTTTATAAGAGAGAGAGAGGAGCAACTCACTTTAAGGTGTAAGCACCGCCTGCCTTAACTTTCCCACAGTCCTTGCATCCCCAGATGCCCACAGCTTTTCTTTTGACTGCGTACTGGAAAACAAATGAGAAGAAAAACAAGCATCAGTATCCTAATTAATGTACAAGAAGCCAGCTTTAATAATTCCTCAAAGGGACAATGTTTTTTATAAAAATTAGCACATGCATATAAAATATCAATCATATTAATAAAGAAGATTTACCTACAAGCCACACAACTCTTATGTATTTATATATCTAACACATAATTTTTAATATTTACTAGTGTAACACTCAAATATTTATCATGGCGTCAAAAATATTGCATGCCTATGTTTTAATGTATGGCACTAAAGTTTCATGTAAATAAATATCAAATTGGGTCTTAAATTTGTAAATATATAAGAATTAAGTGAAAAGCAATAATTGGACTCGTAACGTAGGATTGATCATTTAATTATATATATATCTATATATATATATATATATATATATATATATAGATAAAAAAAACTCTCCATTTCCGTGTGTCCGAGGATTTCACGTGACTCTTAGAATTCTATTTAGAGCGGTACTACACTCCCCTAAAGATGTAGATGAACACAAAATTTTCAACCTACTTCACTATATTGCAATGAAAAGTGAAGTTATTGATGATTCCTTTTGCTTCGGCAAAAGAGAAATTGTCACTTGAATTTTCCTGGATTGGAGTTCCAGGCTTATAAAACATTTAAATCAAATATGATTCATGCAAAAATTTGAAATATGATACTTAATAGGAAACAATGGAAAAAAAAGGATTCATATAGCTGGCCCCATTTAGTGAGATAAAGGCTTGTTGTTGTTGTTGTAGTTGTATGATTCATGTAAAATTTTGTACCGTTAGCAAGAAACACGAAAAACCATTTCCACAACCTATAAATTATTCATATCGATACTTTTGGACTTAGATCAAAAGTTAGTGTTGGTCAGCTTGGAAAGCCCAATTACAATATAGTTTTTCAAGAAATTTGTTGTAAAATTTATGATAAGATGAATCCAAAGCTATTCATTATTAACCTGAAAATGGAGAGGAATAAATATTTTCAGCCTTCTTTTACCACAATGGTTTAGAGAATAAAGTAATAATGATTCTTCTTAGCGTTAGGAAAATAGATAATGCCACTTGATATTTCATGTATTCAAGCAACTCAACCAAACGAGTACGGTAAAAGGCTTGCTGAATATTTAAATCAAGATGGATGTGAAAGCTGAATTTTAGGCAAGAAACAAGTGAATCTGTATCCACAAAAAGTTCATGGCGAGCAATCTGAATATTTAAATAAAGATCCATATGAAAGCTGCATTTTAGGCAATAAATGCGTTAAAATGTATCCACAAAAAAGTTCATGGTGAGCAACCGCACCCCTAAAACTTAATGGGATATGTATTTATATATTTAAAACCTAAAACCTGCTTCTTACATTTATACCACCCAAATCTTTCGTAGCACATCAAAAATACCACCATTTTTATTTATAAAAAAGGTGAAATACTCCTTTCCATGCATAGTAAAAAAGATGGTAACGTAAAAATTGAGGTTTAGCTGTTAGATATGTAAATACATAAGAATTAAGTAGTATCTATGTATTTGCGGAACAATGGAAAATTCATCACTGAAAAAAGGTACTTTCTAACCTTCATTGATGATCTTTCAAGCATTGCGTGGTTTACTTCTAGAGATAAAAATCATAAACATTTAGAATTTTCAGAATTTGAAAGTCATTTTTTGATGCGCAGAGAGAATGTTGTATCAAAACTATACAATGATTGAACATGTAAATACACTTAAGAATTTGAAGCTAACTGCAAAAAAGGGAGCATTTGAAACCAGCTAGCGATAGAATATACTCTATAACACAATGCATTTCCTAAATAAAAAGATAGAACGATTTTTGAAATGGCAAGGCCTATAATAGCTGAGAATAGATTGCCAAAAAGATTTTAGGCATATGTCATATAAACAATAGTCTGCATCACAAGGTGTCCAAAAAAACGGTAGAAGAATATGAACACCATTTGAGCCATGGAGTGGAATTAAATCCATTGTAAGCCGCTTTAACTTTATTTTGCTAAATTAATTAATTAACTGCCTGCAATCATACAGAAAAGAACCGAACCTATTTCTATCATCAAAATGCAATAAAGCAAAGAGAAATCAAGCTACAATATTACAAGACTGAGAAGCAACTCTGCAGAAATTTTCACATCACTTCAAAGAAAAAGATTTTGCTGATTCTAGAGCTCATTAATGTACTTAAGCAAACACGTTAAGGGAGTGTAGTAATTAAACAATTTGATGAAATTTTAGGAAGAACTGTTGTGTTTGCTAGGAATTTATTTAACACTTAAAATTCTAAGTAACTTCTCATATTTCTATGCATCTCTTGGTAATCTACTAAAACAGGAATGATTCTATGTATAAAACCAGATGTAGTCTCTACTTTCAGGTATACAAAAAGAAAAATTAATCAACCATAATTGTCAATAGAGAATAATAAAACATAGCACAAAGGTCGATTGGGGCTAGCTTGGATAATGCATGATTTATATACTATGCATGCTATTTCCAAAACAGCATAAAACAACAAGTGATGAACAATTTATTAATAATTCAATAATATACGAAAAAGTATTCAAATATAAAAATTAAAAAGACAAAAAAATTACTGTATGTACATAACATGGTATTACTTTATTATATGAAAAAATATTATTATATTACTTTATGAAAAAATATCCTAATAATGTTGATGGCAGATTTGTTGTCATAATATATTTCATTGGCTCTTTCTACATGATTTTTAAATTTTCAATATGATTTTGATCAATAGAAGCTCACAAATCTATTGGACAATGACTCAAGCTTGATTTCAGCACTAAATCATAAAGCTGCAAACTGTTCCTAATAATGTACAATATCCTATAGAATGAACCTTTTATCTACCAACAATCTAGCATAGTTCGCATCAGTATATCCTTCAACTTGTAGGATATTATGTTTCCATATAGAATTTCATTCCTTAGGCTTCATTGAAGATATGTGAGAATTCTATAAGCGACTTAAAGTATGTGCCTCTTTGGACTTGTGCATGAATTGGTTGAATAGACATGCTGCAAATGCAATGTCAGGATGGCATGTGAAAAGTGGATTAATTTTTCTACAAACATTTTACATTTTCTTGTATCTAAATCAGTTTTTTATTGATCAAGATCAAAATTTTGTCCTAATTCAAATGGAGTTTCACATTGCTTACACTATTTTTCTTTCAATACATCCATAATATTATTTCTGCTTGGAGAAAAATCCCCTATTTAGATTGAGCGACTTCTATGCCAAAAAAAAATTTGTTTTTCTAGTTCTTTGATTTCAAATTCTTTAGCAATCCTTTTTCCTGAGACTTCTTTCTCTTTATTATCATCTCATGAAACTATCATGTTATCAACATACACAGTGAGATTGAGTAGCATATGCCAGCATTCACTGGTGTAAGGACTAGCAACAACAAGAGCATGTCTTTGCAACAACAACCCCAACAGCAATCGGAAAAGAAAGAGTGGAGTATTCACTCCATTGCCCCACACAGGATCACAGTGATTCCCATACAGGTTAAAAGAGTGTTTTATAAAGAGATTATGTTCTCTTCGTTTTTCTTTATCTTCAGCTCTCATCAGTCTTTGTAAATTTGTTAGTCAAAGTGCTTGGTGATTGTTTTAGGCTGTATAAGACCTTTTTTTAATCTGTGTATCTTATTCTTTTTTAAGGAGCTATTGAATACTGATGGTGGATGTATACAAATTTCTTCTTCGATATTTCCATATAAGAAAAAAAATTACATCATATTATTGTATAAACTACTCATGGTATGATGCTTGGAATATCATAATGAGAACAATGCTCGTTTGTCAAAAAAAAAAAAAAATTGATACTTAATTCCATATGATTGACTATATCATTTTGCTATTAATCATACTTTGCACCTTTCCAAGCTCACATATGATTTGTATTTGATCATAAAAATTCATTTGCATCTTACTCTCTTCTTTTGGTTAAGTAATTCAACAATCTTCCATATATGATTTTTTTATAAGTCTTTCATCTCTTCTGTAATAGTTTCTTTCCAATCTATATTTTTAAGTGCTTCAAATACTATTTATGGAATAAAAATAAGGCATGCGTTGATGTTCGTTAGAAAGACTTCATGGGATGGATAAAATTTGCGAAAGAATATGTACTAAGAGATCGGATATAAATTAATAGCAGGTTGATTGGTGTAACTTGGTAATGGTTTTGAGCCCTTAGCTTGCAGTAGATCTCGGTTGAATTTGTTCGTTCCTGAATAGGGATACACTTCGTAGAAGACTTACATTTGTCAGATTTTAATCTTCAGGAATGTCAAGATAAAACAAATATCATCAAAATTTATCTTTAATTTAAGAATTCTTCCCCGAATGGAGAGTTTGATCGGAGTAGCTATGGGTTTCATTAAAAGTAACATTCAATAAAGTTATTAACATATTTTTGGTTTGATAACAAAATTTGTACACTTTTATGTGGTAGAATATCTGATGAATACATACTTGAGAACTCTTCTATTAAATTTCTTTTTATATGTTATTTATAGATACGAGCATAGTTAATACACCCCAAACAAATTAGGAGGAATTTTTTACTTGTTTGTAGGAAGAAAAACTCATATAATTTAGAGAATTTTAAAATTAATTACTATGGATAGTAATTTATTGATTAATTATTAAAATTGCTTCACTCAAATATTATTTTGGTATTTGAATGCGGAGAAGAAGAGTCTTATGACCTCCAAAAAATGATATTTTTTTCGTTTTCATTATTCCATTTTATTGGGAAGTATTAGAGCAAAACAAGTTGTATATATTACCATCTTTTAAAAAAAATATGATAATGACTGGTTGAAAAAATTATGAGCATTGTCAATCCAAAAAAATTTTAATATTAAAATTGAATTGATTATTTTCATAACTGTGAATATGAAGAGTATAATATTAATAACGATTTTTTCTTTAATTAAATATAGTCATGTCATTTGGGTGTAATCATCAATATATATAACAAAATCAATGCTCCTAAGATGTCGGGAATTTTGGGGGGTCCCAAGATATCAGAATGAATCAACACAAAAATACAAGATGATCTAAATTTGCTTTCAAAAAAGGAAATGTGAAGATGTTTAACAATTCCACAAGTTTCACAATAAAAATCATTAATGTTTGCATTTATAAAAATATAATGAAACATATAATTAAGATTTTTAAAAGAATAATGCCATAGTATATCATGGCATGTTCAAATGATATTGATATATAAGAGGTAAAGAAACATGATAGTTGATCTCAATTTTTAAAATATATTTAAATCAACTTTTTTCACTAGCTTACCCAATCATTTTTCCCATAGTGAGGGTCCAACAAAATACAACAATCATATAAAAAGATGACTTTGCACTAATGATCTTTGATAAATTGTGGATAGAAAAAAAAGATTAATTGTAACATGTGGAACATGTAATATGTTAATGAATATTAATTTGGGAGAAATTGAATTGTCTAATTGTCCTGGAACAGTTGTTAAAATTTTTTCTGCAACTTTTTCTTTCTAATTATGGGATATGACTTGTAAGATTGAAATATACAGCAATGTTTGTCATGTAATCAGTGGATCGTAAATCTAAGATCAAAGAACTACTTTAAGCAAGGGATGAGGATGGCTTTTCTAAGGAATAGAGTAAACTTTTGCGTTTGTCAATCTTTGTTGAGTCATGCGCTTTTAACTCCACTTGGTAGATCTGCACTTTTTTTTTTATTTTTGTCTTTGTTTTCTTCATAATCTTGGGGATTTTTTGTAGTAATTATATAGAATATTATCTTTAATAAAAAATTTTGTGGCATAAACTCAAAAGTTGTCAAGGTGGCAGATATTTTAGGGTCGAAGCATTCATCGTCACCATCTTTTTTTCTTCTAAAATTTGTATAAGAGAATACTTCATTCAAAAAAATGGAGATTTTCTATGTTTACTATTTGAATTCAAATTTGGTCAAATTCATCATCGAACCCCACCATGAACTTGAAGATTATCTCTAGCGAACAAATTATTTAAGGATCAACGCATCCTCACATCATGATATCCTATGATTTTGGTAGTACGGCAAATCCAACCAATAAATCTTCATGACATTGAAGTATTCAATGATAAGAAAATTATTTTATTTGATAATGGCGAACTTTGTTTCGATTTCTTAGATAAGTGCGGCATCTTTAACATTTGAGTATGTCTGATTAACTGCGTACCAAAACTATTTTGTGGTAGAGAGAAACATAAATGGTTCACTAATATTGGAAAACATAGTGTTCCAAAACTATGTCAGGATCATATAATCAACTCCTTCCCAAAATACGGGATCTATAAGGTGTTCAATTTTTCCTTTTCTTCAAAAGATCTTCATGATTTGAGACTATTTAAGATTTTTTTTTTTTATTCAAGCATATTATACTTAAAATCCTTGGAGTTCTTTGTGTTTGACGTTCACTAATCATGATTGATTCCTTTGAAAAAATGTCAAAGAACTCAGGCATAGATTATACGAGAATAATATCTCAAGATAATAATAAGATTGAAAGCGAGAAATCTTGACCTTTAAAAAAGATAACAAAGGTTGGAAAGAAAAACAATCCTAACATCACAATGATACGTGTAAAAAATAAACGAATAGAGGAAATTCTCAATATATTTTTTTTCCTTATTTTGTAAAAAGAAATGGGGTATTTAAATAACTTTAATAGGTATTACACAATAAGAATAAATCAAAAAATAAATTCAACAATATAGAGAAGCGCGTGAATTGCAATATGAGAGATGACAAAATTGATCAAATTGTCAAGACCCTAGTTTATGTGCCTCAAATTCTTTGCTATGATTGCGGAATGAATGGATCTAATCATGGAAGAGAGGAAAAAATATCAACAATATATATGAATGTTAACTAAATGCACAACAATTCTACGTCAACTATTTTGAACAAGTTTTACCTTTCTATTTATTAGACTAATGAAAGTATGAATATGTCTTACAATGAAATCAAAATTCTACAAATGAACAAAATAAATAAAAAATAATCAAAAAAACTCAAAATAAAAATATTTTAACATAATATTGCTATCAATTAACCAGAATTTGATTAAACATGATGAAGCACTAGAAAAAAATAATTTAAATTGGCGAAGAAAAAACATGAAAATAGTAGAATGAAAATAGCATGCATAATTACTGATGGAAGTACAAAAATATCAATACTAAATAGCACACCTTGCAACTACCGATGAAAATAACACAAGAAGTATGCTATGGGACATTGCATGTTCTATTAACTTACATGGAAGCAATAGAATTCATTTGAGCTTTGCATTATACAATAAACATTTTATTTCATCTCATTCCTCCCATCAAATAATGATTGTTTATGCACGTGGGCGTGCATGCATGTGTGTGAGACCATTGGCAGAAGGATGGTCTCCCCACTCCCCTCCTCTCTAAGGTTTGAGTTGAATCACTTAAAGGTATGTACAGTATGGATATTTTTGCAACAAATAAATGTTAGTTTAAATGTTCCTAGCTTGCTTGCATATATAGAAACAATCCGTCAATATTTGTTAAATGAACTCCCAAGTCAAGTATAGTTCCTTCTCAAACTTCTTTCTCCACACACTCTTCGTTCCTTTTTTTATAAACCTCTCCCATTATAACATTTACCAAGCCACCAAAGGATAACCAAATTCTTACTGTCCTACGAATAATCATGCTGTTATGAATGGTGAGGTAAACTACAGGGTTGCAATTTCAAAAAAAAGAAAATGTTTTGCAAATGAGAGAGAAGTGTTCCCCATGCAAGCAAACATCATTAGGATATGTTGAAAAAATCTGTATAACTCGGATTTTGCTTTGATCAGTAGGACAGAAAGAACTTAAATAAACTAATAGGGCCTTCATCGTCCTCAACCCCAATCATCTCTCCTGTACATGACCATACACAATGGCTAATTCCGTTATTATGAGATAACAACTAATTTGAGATATCACTTCAACCATTTTTTTAAATTAAATTTAAAGAAGACAATGCCTTCTCATCAAACAGCACAAATCTAAATACATTGAATTCTAGTACTGAAGTGCTCCTAAAAGCATAAAAATAGCCACCACAAAAAGGTGCTACATAGAGATAAGGAATTTATATGGCATTATAAGTAATACCTTTCCACAAAATTCACAAAAGTACTTGGCATGTTGTGAAACCTCCATTTTCTTAATTTGCTTCCGCAAACTAGCACCATATCTTGTGCCTGCATCAAGTGTAATTCATGAGATTTGGTTAAAAAATAGTAGATAATGCACAACCATTAAAAATATGCACAATAATGCAGGCTTCATGTACCATATTTTCCAACAATTCCAGCCTTCTTGGTCCTCTTTGTCTGTTTGGAATAACAAACAAAAATGCCGATTAGAATTAATAAACTGAAACAATTTAGCAGACTTTGTCATACCCTAAAAATTTAAACAAGAAAGATTGAAAAATGTCATTTGTCTTATTTGGGTCAAAGTAATATGAATAAAAATGCTATCAAAATACTAAATAAAGATTTATCAGCCAAAAAAACTACCTTGAGTTCTATGGTACCTAGGGCTAACCAAAAAGCTCGTCGTTCGCGAGCTGCTCATGTTCGGCTCGCTAGATTGCTCGTGTTTGATTTGATCGTTAAGCAAATAAGGCAAACACAAAAAAATACGATTTATAAACAAACTGAAAACAAACAAGCTTTTGTTTGATCGCGTTCGAATTGTTTTGGCTCAAATTAATTAAATAATAAATCAATAATATTATAACAAAATTAATATATTAATTTTTAAAGCTCAATATTGACTGCTATATAATATATCTAAAATTGTATGTTAATTTAAATAAAGTAAATTGATTTTTTTTTTTTGCATTATTAGCTTAAAAGTAACTAAATTCTCACTTAAATGTTTCAAATGAAAATAGAATTTTTTTTTTTTTAAATAATAATTTGACTTGAATTATGCAAAAAAAAAACAAATAGAAGAGGCAGAATATTGGAAGATTTACATGCATACCACTCAATTCCTATGTGTTTACATATCTAATACCTAAACTTCAATTCTTACGCATATGTGATCTTATCTATAGGCATGAAAAGGTCAAGTTCACATTTTAAAAGTTAAAATAGTGATATCATTGATATGATATCAAATATTTGGTTTGTATAAATGTAGAAATGGAATTTAGGTGTTAGTCTGTTAGACATGAAAATACATAGGAATTGGGTGGCATCCATGTAAATGCGCTTAAAATTTTTCAAACACAAATCCCGCCCAACCTTGCCCTAGAATGCCCTCATGTGTTCTCATTTATGCATTTAGTACCACATTGGGGAGTAGCTTCTTATCATTGTTGCTTAAATGCAAAAAACATGTGCAAGTGTTTGGGATACATAGCATGCCTTGCGGCTGTGAATACCGTATTTTTCTACCTTTCAATGGGATTTAAAATAGAATATAAATTTTAGATATTTAATTATGTTATATTGATTTATTAAATTTAATAAATTATTATTTCGAGATTGAATATGAGTTAATACGAACAAATGAATTTATTATTGAGTCGAACACAAATGTGTTATTCGTAAGTCCATTTCGAACACAAGCCTATTTTGAGCCATAAAAATTTCAAATGAACCGAACACAAACAAGCACTAGACTTGCTCGAGCTCGGCTCATTTACACCTTTAGTGGTACCTCAGTGATGTAGTGATATTTAGAATAATCAATGGACATTTCTATCTTTTTTTTCCTATTTAGTTTAACCATCAAAGAAACTTGCATAGAGAAGTAAAAAGTTTAGGCGGCATTTCAATTTCATCAAAATGTATCTTAAATATGACTAATGAAATTGTTATTTAAATATGCCACAAAACCAAATAGTAACATATGCTAATAACAATACATTAGATTGCATATGTAAGTGAAACACGCAACCAATATGAATGATCAGGCTTCTCACTCTAACTTTTCATTGCCTTCTTAGCGGCATGAGTAAAAAATGAAAATAAAAAACAAACTCTAAATTTTACTAAAACATCTTGTAAATATGTCGTATACTAAACTCCATAAATACATTGCCATTCTTATTTAACAAAGAACCAAAGAGAACATTCATACATCTCAAAAAACTACTATAAATTGATATAACAAATGGTACTCGTCGTGAGCTTTTAGAAGTTGCCAATAGCAATGGAAAAGAAATTCATTACCAAAAAGATTAGCTATAAAGTCGATGAAATTTATGAAAACATGCCGGCATTGGCGTAATGCATAATGGTTTGAGGGATGATGAAGACTTATACTAACATATATTGTAGCGGATGAAATCCACGTTTAGAACTAAAGCATAATTCAATAACAAAGATGAAAGCTGCTAGTGTCGCCCAATTACCGTTCAAACCTAAATCCCATTAGAAACTTGGTTTCAAATGAGCATATTGGATAGCTCTACATTAATGAAAGCTAAGCACGTAGCATCCATGAACAAACATTGCATAAAAGCCTAATTTCATATACAAATTGCGTCGGCAAACCTATATTAGGAATAAAGCAATAAAGTCACATCTCCAAATCCCAATAATGAGTTTGAAGCAATCTATCTTATTTTAGAGATGTAGAACAGTTGATATCCACGTAATTAATATTACAAAACTCTCCGGATCTAATTCTATCTTACTTGGTGTAAATTTAAGGAGATTTCTATCAAAGAACGAAGATTTTAGCAAAAGAGTAAAGCAAGTAGTTTGATGAGCACCGAATAGCATATACTGCATAAGCATGGAAATTTTAGAGATTCCATAGGCATGCCAGTTTTAGGAATTTCATAGAGCAATTCGAGCATTTAATTTACAATAATCACCAGATTTCGTTCCATGTTATTATACAGAATTAACGAGAAAATTAAAGTGCAAAACGGAAATTCGAACGCTCTGCCAACTAGTCATACTAGCACGAAGTAGAAACTGACAATAACAGAAAACATAATAGCAGCAAAAATGGCATCAATAAAAGCGTGGAAAACCTAGAAGACATGTTTTGAGAGGGGACGGAGCCAAGGCTTACCATCTTCGCGTAGCCAAGGGTAACCGAGACTTGCAATACGAAATAGCAGGAAGAATTCAGACAAGAGGAAAACAACGCAGCCGCGTGAGGTGGTGGGAAAACCCTAAACGCAGGCACCAGCGGCACGGAATCAGAACCGTCCGATGAAAATAATCCCAGATGAGTCCGCGGCCTTATTTTGTTTGGTTTTAACTGGGTGTGCAAACTAGATGAGTCTTGATTGACTCGTCTATTAAATTATGAGTTCAAGCTCGTGTTCGAGTAGAGCTCGAATGATGAGCTCAAGCTCGGCTCATAGCTGTAATAGTCGGGTCACGAGTTATCTTTTAAATTCAAATTAAAAATTTTATTTTTATAGTTGGTAAAAGAAGGTATTGGTGGCGGGAGAAAAAGATGCAACGATAATGGACCGAAAATGCATCAAAATGATTAATAATTAGCTAATCGAGCCGACTCACGAGCCAATGAATCGGGCCGAGAAAAGTTCGAGCTCAAGCTAGTTTAATAAGAGAGCTTACGTTTGAGCTCCAGTTTAAGCTCATGGCTCCATAAACTCGGCTCGAGAACCAGCACTGCTAACTTACCCCCTTAGTTGCTAGGATTCATAGGATTTAGTAAATCCAAAATTTAAGTACTCTTAAAAATTATATGATGTGATGGAAGTTAAATCTGATTAAAATTTTAAATGAATTATTTGATAATTTATTTCAGATAAAATTTTGATACTAATTAGTGATTAAATTATTAGATAAATTTAATTATAATTTAATTTTTATTATTTTTACCAAGTAAATTGATATTTGCATGTTTATTATTAATTAGTTATTCAGAGTTTCGTTTAATTGAACTAATTAATCCTTAATCATTTCATTAATATTCATTCTTAAAGTGTTTAACAGATTTAAATTCTTGTGGCGTGAACGTAGTATGACTTTAGCCATTATTAGTGAACTACGATAGAATTCAACATTGATTTTACGAGCACAGGAATCCACAATTTAACCTTAATATATAGGAAAATAAGCATAAAAATAATTAATCCTTAATCATTTCATTAATATTCATTCTTTAAGTGTTTATGAGATTTACATTCTTGTGGAGTGAACGTAGCATGACTTTAGCCTTTATTAGTGTACTATGATAGAATTCAATATTGATTTTACGTGCACAGGAATCCACAATTTAACCTTATAATATAGGAAAGTAAGCATAAACAATTTAGAAATCCTTTTAATCAATAACCCTGTATTAAAATGTGTACAGCAATACAACAATCTAATATTTTAATTTCTCATTACGGCACCATTTATGTAAACAACATTGAGTTGATAAACAATACGAGATCATTGATTTGATGGGAAGATTATCATTTGTTATGTTGAATTTAGATTTGTTCTGTGGAGTCAAGCCCAAAGATCAGAGCGATATAAACTTTGAGGGAAAAATAAAGAGATAGAGAAGGAGAAAGAAAGAAAATACGCACACAAACTTGCCTAATATGGGTGAACCGGAGCAATTTTGAGTCTTGTGACCCATTTTATATTACAATAGAGAATGGGATAGAGATCTCCTTGCAATAGTGGGTCTAGAGAGAAGAGTCGAATGAGGTCAAAGGCTAAAGAGACAAAAGACCCCTAATACATGTCATGGTCCATATGTTTATAGAAAATAGATGGAGAAACTATAAAATTATACAGTTGCCCCGCTTTAATAGGAAAGCTGCAGTGAAGTCTTTTGTTGTGTTTTTTCATATGGTGTAGACTCACTTCTTGGCAAGCCCTTCGGTCAATTGACCGAACTAGTGTTGGTCAGCTACTTTATCTGACACTAGTAAGCTTTTAATCTCATAGCTGGTTGGCCTTAGGGTGGTCGACCGACTTGTTTGACTATGATTTCATGGTGATTTCTTGATAACTTTGGGGGAGCTATCGAGGAAGTCATACGTCGATACTTGTTAAATTTTTTAAGTTATTAGACATTTGTTTGGTCGTTGGCGTGAATGTTTATTCCCGATCGGTCGAGTGGACCATTGGTCATTAGACTAGCCTTCAGTTGATCAGTTGTCCTACGATTGGTCTGGTGGCCCTTTGGTCATCAGACAGACATTCAGTTGATCAGCTGTCCTACAGTGGGTCGGTAGCCTTTTGGTTGGTTGGTGGCCTGCAGTCAGCGATACTCATTATGCCTTGATCTGGACAGTTTGATTGTCTCAATATTTATGCATATCATTTTTATGTGTATAACTTTCAATATGCATCTAATTAAACATTAATTATCATCAAGTATTAAGAAGTTGAGCACAAAGTATAATATTTTAATAAAATTTGTAATGCATGTGTCTAATAATTGATACGTCATAAAAAAATTCTCATTATCTAACACGAATTTTGATACATATTTTTATGCAAGAAATAATCATCAAACTTCAATAAAAAATTATTGAGTGCTCCGATTTCAGCAAATTTTAGTAAAAATAATCAGCTCGATGAGACAAACTTAATGATATGAAAACTAGTTCAATTTAAGTCAAATCAACCACAAATTAAACCATTAAACCACTTTTTGAAAATTTTCAAACTCATTAGAAATGTCAAACGGATGTTAATAACGATGAGTCTATAATCAAATTGAGTTTCTCGACAAGATGAATCCAACGAGTCCATGATCACCTGATTCTGACATTCTCAAGATACATAAATGTCCATCAAATATCGTTTAAATGAGGTAAGCCTTCTAAGTCGTTCGATCAAAGTAGTTCATATTATTATATTAATTGCACTCATAATACTATAAATAGAGCCCACCCCTCTCATGATAGAGATGTGAGCTTGAAATTTGAGAAAGAATTTGGAACTTTGAGAAGGAGTTGAAGTCCAACACCACTTCTGCCACCGTCGATCGCCGTTGTCCATCGCCGATCATTATACCGTTGACCAACACCTTCCGGCTTCCATCGATCGCAGCCGACCACCACCTACAGGCTTCCATCGATCGCACTCGACCACCACCTACAGGCTTCCACCGATCGCAATAGACCACCAACTGTCGGACATTCACCGATTGTCATCGGTTGCCGCCCACTTCTTATAACAAGTTCATTCGCATGTCGACATTGTAATTCATAAGACCTTATAGCTCTTTCCCGCTTATGAGAAAATGAGTATATGTAATCATCAACTCATAGTGAATTTTTATAACAGAGTTAAGCCTAAGGATTTTTTTTCTTTTTATGGGTTTTTCACTTAAAAACTTTTCATGTCACTAATGGTTGTCTTTTTTTATCTGAATGTGTGCTGAAATCTCGTGCAACACTAAGATGAAATTTCATTACTCCACCACCGCGAACTTTCCAGCACGCATTAGTTCGGAGCCATCCGTGGGAAACAAAACACCATTCGACAATGTTTTAAACTCCGAGACATCTATCGTTTACTTCATTTACCAATGATGTATATCATCCAGCTGGCAAATGAATCTTCTTTACAACTTCAAGATCATCTCTGAAGCATTCTTCGATGTGGGAGGCAACCTTCATTGCAGTCTCGAAAGGTCGTTTACATCAACATCTCGAGCACGATAGTAGTGGGTTTGTCTTCTTACATCCTATTTAGACACAAATTATTTAAAAACTTCTTTCAGGTTGAGGGGCAACCTTTACAATAGTTTCGAAAGGTCATTGATGTTAACGTCCCAGACACGACTGCGATGGGGAAGTCAACCCATATTTCATTCAGATTACAAGTCTACAAGAATCGTCCCTAGACTGGGGCAATATTAACCGCAAATAAAGTTTTCTCAGTGCCTCCTCATCATACTAGAGTTATTCTTTAATTGTATTAAGAAGTTGATCTCTTCAAGGCTTGAAACATGTGTTTTTTTACAAGCTCGCATGGAAAACACCCTAATCGGGGGGCAAAAGATTCAAAAGCAGCAACAAACGAGTTGTCATACATTATTCTTGAGTATGACTGCAACCATATTTTCAAGGAAACGTAAAATCTATTGCAATCTATGTCATAGTCTCTAGTAACGTAGAGCATCTCTGACACCTCATTCTTTGCTTAATCGGTCCCAAGGGGACTCGATTCGACCTCTTCCATTACAAACTACAATCGTCAAGCAAAAGCTTTAACATACAAGCTCAGATAGCTCAAAAATCTTTGGTGGATTTCCTTTGACCTCTTCCATAACAGGTTATGATCGTTAAGTAAAAGCTCCGACCAACAGTCTAGGTTATTTCAACCATCCCCTGTGGTTTTTCATATGACTTTCTTCGTTACAAGTTAACACAGTCGAGCATCGCTGGTTATACAACTCAGAATTGATTTTACATCCTTAATGGATTCTTCTTTCAACCATACCCCTAGAAGTCAAGCCTAGGAGGCAAAACTCGATAGGAAGATCTAGTACGCCCTCGAAGTTGAGCCTAGGAGATACTAAATGTGAAGCTATGGTGCTCCTATAAGAGAAGCCCAGGAAGCCAGTATAGTAGGATGTTATCATGCTTCTCAAAGTCAAGCTAAAGAGGTTAAATGCGATGGGAAGATCCAGTATCCTTGGAAGTTGAGCCGATGAGGTGAGACTCGATGGGAAGTTACGATGTTTGAAGAAGTCATGCCCAAAAGGCAAGACCAGATGAGAAGCTATAATGACTCTATAACAGGAGCCTAAGAGACAAGTTTCGATGGAAAGCTAGTAGAGGTGGTGGACAGGGTCCTCACTAGAAAGACTCCAAGAGAGAAAGTAGTTTGACAGCGTCTCAACTGAAAGACCTCAGAAGACTACAAGTCTCAGAAGACGCGGGTACATAAAAGGCCTTAAAAGTCTATGAGTCGCAAAATGTACCAATTCATTTCAAGTTCTTATGAGCCATAAACCTGAGTGGGTATAACCATATAATGCATGAGTCTTAAAAGGTATGTGATTCGCCATTTTATAAAGTGCGTGTCCTGACTTTAATTGCAGACTTTTGTACGATCGAGTAACCACGACAACCTCATAAGCAACATCAAAGACGTATAAAGAAATACACTATCATCGTCTACAAATGTTACACGAGAGTATTAAAAATGATATAAATACCAACGGGGATTGATATAAATATTACAAGAGATAACACGACCACAAAAGCATGAAAATCTCCCCATCAAATCCCTGCATAAAGACTAACATTTATTGATCCTCACCAAAATGCCTAACAAGCAAGAAGATCCTCAGACACTTGATGGGCTAAAATAGAGATAAATTTCTTCATCTCATTATGCGAAAGAAGATCTCGATAGTCACATGATATGCATGCCGAGGACGGCTTTTCTCTTGACCGCAATATGAAAGAAGATCTAGTTGTCCGTCTGCTACGTATGACGATAACGACTTTTCTCGTGGTTGTAATGTGAAAGAAGATCACGTTGCTAACTTGTTATGCATGATTGAGACAACATTCATCTTCATCGCAACGTTAAAGAAAATCCTGTTGCTCGATTTTTAGGCATGATGGGAACGACTTTCCTCTTTGCAGCAACGTGAAAAAAGTTCTCATTGCTCGCTTGCTCACATAAGGGGGATGACTTTCTCTTTGCTACAACATGAAAGAAGATCTCATTGCTCGTCTGCTATGTAGGATAGTGACGACTTTTCTCTTGGTCGCAACATAAAAGAAGATCATATTGCTCGTCTTCTACACAGGAAGGGGTCATCTTTCCTTTTTGTTGCAACACGAAGGAGATCTCATTCCTCACCCTCTACGTAATATGAATTGGACTTTCTTCTTCTGAGAAATCTCGGATCACCTGTTAGGTAGAGTAGGAGACTCCACCTACATCTTCATCTCTTTTGCCTATTTATAGGCTAAAATAATATAAAATTTTATGGCTAAAAATTAATTCATTTCATTAAAATAGTAAATAAAAAAAATTTAAATTTGCATTAGTTCACGTCCTTCTACCTTCAAGGTTTTGACATTTCATCTCATGAACATCTACCTTCCTCATTCTAAATTAAATATAAGACAGAAATTATTTTAGGTATTAAAAAAAGGAAAAATTCTTTATATTCCTTGTTTAATTATTACAAATTAAATAAAATTAAAATACTTTTCAAACCAACATTGTGTTTGTGTATGTGCGCCCGCAAGCAAAAAAATATAAAAAATAAAATAAAAATAATATATATATATATATATATTGTGTGTGTGTAAACAACTAATTAAAAAAAAAACTTAAATCTACCTTAATTCCATTGTCATTTGACATTCCCTCTTCTTATTTTTGTCCTTTTGACTTCTGTCTTATAACCTACCAAATTCTTAATTTCAAATAAAGATTAAATCAAAATTTCGTTATACACCCATATTTTAGTCTTTTAAATTTCCTAAAAAAATATAACTTGTTTAAAAAAAGATTAAATCAAAATATGCATTAATTATGTCCTTCAAACTTCCTCGTTCATAAAAAAAAAAAATTAATAAAAAAATAAATGTTGTTTCAAATTCCGGAAACATTTCGACCAACAATATTATAGTGTTTTGGTCCGTCATTTTGCATTCAAAATTCGACATCTTCCAAATTTTGTCCTCATTTTTTATGGTGCCGCTCATTTTTTATATGAAAATTAAGCAAGAAAATTTGGGAAGTTTGCATGCATGACACTTTAATTATAAGACATTTATACTCATGACATCAAAACTAACATTTACATTCATATTATATTAATCATGCGCATTTATATGTGTGACATAAAAACTTTTGTACGTGTGCATGTATGTGTGTGTGTGTTTATAATGATAAAAGTACTCCAGATTTTAGTATTTTCGAAGAACGATGATTACATCGTTCGAAAATAAGGAGGAAACTAATACGTCATCAAAAAATTCCACTATTCAACACGAAACTCAATGCATGACACAGATTTCGATGTGTTATTTTAAACTATAAACATTCAAACTTCAATAATAAATTATCTATAGCTCTGATTTCAATAAATTTATAGTCAAAATGATCGGCTCGACGAGATATGCCCAGCTCTGATTTCAATAAATTTATAGTCAAACTGATCGGCTCGACGAGACATGCCTAATGATATCAAAATTAGTCAATCAGAGTGAAATAAAACACAAACAAAGCCATTAAACTATTTTTAAAAGTTTTGCAGACTCATTTAAAACGTCAAACATATTTTAATTTCATTGAGTCTATAATCAAATTGAGTGCATTGACAAAATGAATCAGAAGAGCTTAATATCACATAATTCAGACATAATTAAGACACTAAAATGTCCATAAAACACCATCCGATTAAGGGAAGCACTCTGATCCGTCCGATCAAAGTGATTTATATTATTGCACTAATTGCACCCAAAATATTATAAATATAGCCCCACCCCTCTCACGAGGTGGAAGAAAGCTTGAGTTTTGAGAAAGAACTTGAAGTTTTGATAAGGACCAGAAGTCCAACACTACTTTTGCCACCTTCGATTGCCGTTGACCGTCATTGACCACCGCTAACTGTCATTGATCATTGTTGGCTACAGTTGACTACCACCGCCGATCACCGTCAACCACTACCTGTCGGGCCTCCACTAATTGTCACTGGTTGTTGCCCCATCTTACAATAAGTTCATTCATATGTCGACATTTTAATTCAGAAGTTTTTGCAACCATTTCCTGTCTGTGGGAAAATATATTTCTGTAATCATCAACTTATAGTGCATTTTATAATTGTGTCAGACCTCATGATTTTTTCACTTTATGAATTTCTCATGCACAAACTTTTGGTAACACTAATGGTTTCTTTCTTCTGTCTGAATGTGTGCTAAGATCTCGTGCAATGCTAAGACGATAATACATTACTCAATAAATTCTCATTATTCGACATGCCTTAAAATGTGCAAATCTACCGACGTGCTGGAAAATTCATGGTTACTTATATATATATATATATTATGCTCATTTTTAAGGACATCACGTGTTAATAGAATGCATTGTGTGTGCTTTTGACTTCAGGTAAAAAATATGGATTTTCAAAGTAAAAGAAGTAAAAACGAAACAAAACGGGGTCAAATAGTGCAAAAGAGCAAAAAGTGACTTGGTGCAAAGTAGTTAAAACAGGCTTCTAGAAGGCTGGTGCCTAGGCACCAAAAACTGTTTTGATTTTTGTGCAATGAATTTGGACGAAATTTTAAGAGATGCTTGAAGTGACTCTTGACGATTTTAAGAATTTTATTTAAATGGTGCATTGGCTGGTCGAAAAAAGGAGGGAGAGCAGTAGTAAGCGTGGGTGTGTGTGTGTGTGTGTGTGGCGTGGAGTCTGTTGGTGAGAGACATTCGAGTGTTTATTTTAGTGTGTCTATTGGAGAAAGAAGCCATCAAATAAACTTAAAAAAATTTGCTTGGGGAGTAGTTGCAATAAGTACTTTGTATTTTCATTTTAGTCTTGTTATCCCTATGAAATTCGAATAGTTTCTTTTATTTTTCTTCTAGCAATAAGAATTAATCATGTGTAAGATTATAATTATTTAAGATTTATCTTATTTCATACTTTTGATGATTCATGCTTTCTTTTCATTAAAATCCTGACAATAGTTTGAATCTATTTATTTGTATGGAGATTTGATTAGATTTGAGAAATTTACAGGATGACATGGGAACATGGAGAGGATGCATGACATCAAAATGGTGCAGCCTCCACCGGTGCGAGGAGGAATGATGTGTTGATCAACCAATATTTTTATACTGTTTTGATGGAGTTTTTGTGCATGTCTGGTATTGTCTTGTGTCACAGTAAGTTTTCCGTTCATTTATCACTTCATATAATTTTGTATTCCAACTTCGCACCTAATGTTCTCTTCCCATGGAGAGAGAAAGAAGAAAATCTTGTTTTTTTGTGTGTATGAGAATTATTTGATGAATTTGTATATTATTTGAGAATGATTTCTTGTAGTTTTATAAATGATAACATTCGCTGATGTTTATAAATTATTACCGATTTCTTCCAAATTATTAGATTAAGCGTATATTTTTGTTATACTGTTATGAATGAATTTTATTAGTTATGAAATATTTAATGTGTAGTTATTGTCATTTTGTTTTGAACAACACAATAGTTGCGTGCCATATTAGTTATTTATCTAGAGAAAACTATAAATAAACTGCTTTCCAAATGCACAAATCAAACAATTAAACAGTTTATCCATTACAGGGGCAAAATGACATAAAATCAGAATGTGTTATTTTCCAAACGCTCAAACCAAACAGTTAGTCAACTTATCCAAATTAGCTGCTGATCAACAAATGATCAGGATAAGTTGAATAAGCTGCAACTACCCCAAATAGACCCCCAATTTGAGCTTGAGCTTCATTAATTGCACCAAACTCAAGCTGAGTTTTAGGAATTGGAGCCAATTAATTTACCATGAAAGTGAGAAAAAAAATAAATTTAAACACTACCCCAAATAGACCCCCAATTTGAGCTTGAGCTCCATTAATTACACCAAACTCAAACTGAATTTTAGGAATTGGAGCCAATTAATTTATCATGAAAGTGAGCAAAAAAATAAATTTAAACTAGTATATGATGAAATGATAAATACAATGAGCATTTAAGAGAGAATTAAAAAGAAATTAGTTGGTATTTTATAAATATTAACTTCAAATATTTTTAATAATTTTAAAAAAATATTACTTCATCAAACCGGTTAATGATGACTAGACATTGGCTCACCGACACCCATACATACATACCGATGAATTGAGTGGTAACTATGTAAATCTTCCATCCTTGAAATCGTTCAACTGGAGGTTAGACGTGTAGATGAAAGTGGGACGGATGCCCTAGATTGAGTTCTTATGCAGCGCCGCTACGTCTGTCTTTCGGAGAACACTCGCCCCATACTCTCCGGCGGCTAGCTAGCGTCAACCGATCTTCCGAGGCACGACGCGTTCGATCTCGATCTTCTCCTCATGGTATCTTATGTTCTGCCCCTCGTCCATTGACGCGAATCCTTGCATCAGACTTCTCTTTTTCCTCTTTCATTGACAGTTGATTATTCTCCTTCAGCGGAAATCGTTTCCGCTGAAATGCGAGTACGACCCGAATTGTGTGGCAGTTTGGAATCCACTGTCCATGCTTCTCTAGTTCTGGTCCAGGACGAAGATTAGCTTCCAGTCATTCAGGTTGGCTAAGATCGCTGTCATGTATCTCCTCTTTGTCTTCCAGGCGTTTGCTGCATCCCATTGGTGCGGGCGTTAGGGCCTCTCTCGCTCCCGTTCCTTTTTCCTTACTTGAGATTTCCCAGTTTTCTTTAGGGATTGTTTCGTTTTTCCTTTTTTTTGTTGCTCGTTCAACTCTTTTTTTTTTATTGTTCTTACAGGTCGTATTGAGTGCATCTGGTTTTGCGCCTTACTCGAAAAATTTTATTTCTTTTTGACTGCGATTAAGAATTTTTTTTGGCTTTGATTTGCCTCACTATGCTTAGTTATTGTATAAGGTGTTTTGCTGAGGATGGTAAAATGCATGAACTTTTGGATCACTTTGGGGGTGAGCTGCGGTGTTGAAATCTTACTTTGTGGATAACGATTGGTTTACCTTATCAGCTATTTTTCCCTTTGTCTCCTTTTCATTCAGAGGCCTTTCTTCAAGGATCCGCTTGGTTTGAAGATTTAGAAGAGATGACATGAAAATGATATATATTAGTTTTTATCAGCTTGCTTGTTCATGGAAAAATTGAGTGGAAAATAATTATTTATTTCTTTCTGGTTCAGGAAAAAATGATTTTTGTCATTTACACCTTCATTTCGCAGCAGCATTAATTGAGTTTAAATTTCTTTGAATTTATTGTAGGAATCGCCTTTACTCTTCTCCATCTTGAAGTGTATCCTTAATGAACCCCAAGGAAGGCTGTACTAATTTAGGGGCTGTCTGCAACAAATTAAACACATGATTTTGCAGGATTTAAGCGGAATCCACCCAGTAGGTCATTTTTGACAAAATAAATCTCCGGATGCCGTAAATCCTGATTCCACGGATATTGGCTGTAAATCCTGTAAATCCTAACTTTGCGGGGCTTGGGATTTAATTTCAGGGTCTTCTGACTGTCTACAGCAGGCATAAATACTTTTTAATTCCATGCAGAATGTGCCAAACAGTTCTATTGGACTTACATGATTTAGTAAATCTATATTTACTGGATTTACTAAATCCTAACACCTTAAATTCCATCTATTGCACTGAATTATTTATAATGAGTTTAAATCTGCTTATCATAGTTGTTTATCTACCCATCTACAGTCACAACCTTCTTTTATGTCTTTTTAGGACTATCTTTATGCCGGCTCCTCATTTTTTTTATTCTTTGTCGAAAAAATATTTATCTGAAGCAGAATAATGGCTGTTTTCAGTGATTGCCAGTTTCTCAGTAATATTTTATTTTTGTCTCAAGTTGTCAAAGTTTTTTCATCATTGCAATGATTTATTGAAGCACTTGTTTAGTGATTCATGATGTTGATTCCTCAAGCTGGCTATCATCATCAGAGAATTTTGGCGCTGTGTTGCTATCTGAAATTATTGTTGGGGATATTGATAAATCCTAAAATCAATGCAAACTATCTGGAAGCTTAAACCGTGCATTATGTTAATTCTTGATTTTTTTTTTGGAAATGATACAATCTGGTTAATATTTTTCATTCATGGAGAATATTTTTATCATTTTTTAATATTTTATTTTTTTTTATTTGATAATTGTTGTGAAGTTGAATATGTTTTTTTAAGTAATATTTCTTTTTGACAGAGAGGATATGATGTTAAGTAAAAGGTCTTAGTAGGAAATAACTGTGGTGGTATTAAGATAATAGTTGGGAAGAGGAAGAGTGCCCTAGTCCCTGTTTAAGTTGTAACAGTGGCTGTCGCAACCTCTTCGACAACAAATTATTCATGTTTTTACATGATGGGTGGAAAGGAAAAGGCGTGGACTATATTCTGAGTGTGAATAACAGTCTAGACTGCTCCCAACATGTATTGTGAACCCCCAACAAATATCTATTTGCCACCATATTTTTCTACGGTGATAAGAAACATGTATCTGATCCTTTCAATGTGAGATTTTCTCCTTGTTGATGTTTTCTGTAAAAAAACTGAAGTTGAGCTAATTAAGTGCTGCTTTTTTTCTCTCTTCCTTTTTTTTTAAAGTGGTTTATGGAGGAAATTATTCGTGCTTGTGAATTATCCTGCATAGATTTTTTTTTCCATATTGATTGAATTTTTGTAGCTCTATTTCGACAGCTAGCCTTATGTAAATATCTATGAGAAAAAAATGTCCCTTTTTTGGTAATTTATTTTGTTTTTTAACAAGGTTTTGAAAGCACCTCATCATTACTCATTAAAATTAATGTTCAATATGTTGTACTGCAACTATTTATGGCTATGAATTATATCACTTGAGGATGGGATTATCGCCTACTTCCTGAATGCATGCTTTGTTTTCTTTCTCCTTTGGTAAAGATATGTTTTCATGTTAGTCACTTGCTTTGATGCACTTTTTTCGGTCTGTAGTTTTCTGCAATTAAAAGAACCTTGTATGTCTTACTTGTGAGTTGTGACAATACATTTTAACAAGGTTAACATTTTATGAGCAATTGAATAAATATTTTACTTTAAGACTAGTCTTTTTTCTACCCCACTATGGATGTAAATGAGTTGAGTTGGTCTTGAGTTATGCCTAATTTTTGCTCGACTGAAGACTCAACTATGAAGTTGCGAGCCTGAAGCTTGACTGAATTTGACTTGAGCACAAAGGGAGAGCTCGAGCTTGGCTCGCTGCAATAATTGTGAACTCGCGAGTCGCTCCAAGGCAAAAGAATACTGATCGCTCAAAAATCAGATCCAATTTTAGCCAGGATCGAAATCGGATCGAATAATTTGAGCCGAGTTATGAGCCAAATTAAAGGATCAAATTCATTTTGATCCGTTCTCGCCAAGGCGGGTTCGAGCTTGACCAATGTGGCTCACGAGCCAAAAATGACATTCGAGCCAACTTGAAAATCGGATTGTTTCACACCGGATCGGATCGAAATTTAGTAGGATCGATTCATGATCCAATTTTGATCCGGTTAAAAAAATTTCAATTTGATTTCAAGCCGGTCTTGAAATTTTATCTTTCAAACCTCTAGAGCACAGTATAAACATGACCGGCAGCTGGAAAAAAGGTTGCCGCTTTGATAGAGCTCGAGCTTGGCTCGCTGCAATAATTGTGGACTCGCGAGTCGCTCCAAGGCAAAAGAATAATAATCGCTCGAAAATCAGATCCAATTTTAGCTAGGATCGAAATCAGATCGAATAATTTGACCCGAGTTATGAGCCAAATTAAAGGATCAAATTCATTTTGATCCGTTCTCGCCAAGGCGGGTTTGAGCTTGACAAATGTGGCTCACAAGCCAAAAATGACATTCGAGCTGACTTGAAAATCGGATTGTTTCACACTGTATCAGATCGAAATTTAGTAGAGCATCGATTCATGATCCAATTTTGATCCGGTTAAAAAATTTCAATTTGATTTCAAGCCGGCCTTGAAATTTGATCTTTCAAACCTCTAGAGCACATTGGAGAAGTTATCAACATGATCGGCAGCTGGAAAAAAAGTTGCCGCATTGATAGCTCAGTGTAGAAGGTATTAACATTAATAGAGGCTGGATATACGAGCCAGCTCACTAGTTGATGAGTCGAGCCTCAGCGAGCTCCAACTAGCTTGAGCTTGAGCTTGCTGCCCAGTAAGCTCTACTTGTGAGCCGGTTAGCGGGATCATGTTTGATCTAACTTTTACCCATGCTATGCTCGAGGAAACATTAATATATAAGCCTTTCAGGTTATATGCAGGGTTTCACTGTATTTTTGTAGAACTGTTTGTATGTCACCTTATGTCCTTTTGAGAATTCTATCTTTGAGAGAACCTAGCAAATGTAATACTATTTTTTTATTGCAAGTCCTTATGAAAATTGGTTTTAAGTATGCTTATCATCTCGGTACATCTGATAATTCCATTATGGTTTTATAATATCTGTGATGAATCCAAATTGAACTGCTCGAGATTGTGGGACATGGTACCTCATGTGATCTCTCCACTAATGCAAAGGATTTCTCAGCAAAAATTAAATTTTAATTGCTTTCTAATTGATTCGAATAATTTTGCTTATAATTTTACTTTCAAACGGCTTTTTCGCTGCTTTGTCTACTTCCTTCCAAAAGGTCTCTCTTTAGGAGACCCTTTATAAGGCAGTACTAATTTACTATTGCAAGGAATCATGTATGCTGGCTGTAAATCAATTTAGCATGCTGATATTTTTGCCGATTTTATTATGCTTTAATATTTTGTGGTGATGAGTCCCAATTGGATTACTTGATATTGTGGGAGACAATCCCGCATGTGATCTCTTTCCAATACTGCAAAGGATTTCTGAGCAAGAACTAAACTTCAACCTTTTCAAGCATGTGTAAAAGTTGGCTTTCTGAGCAGAAATATGGTTGTTTTCGATTGCAATGACTGCCATTTTATACGCGATGTTCTATTTTTCTATTAAGACGTCAATGTTTTTTAATGATTTTTTGAAGCCGTTGTTTAATGATATTCATGTAATTGATCCTTGTGTTATTTCTCTGCCTCACATTAAGAGAATTTCTGAGAAGTATTTAACTCGTAGTACAATCAGGACAAATTATTGGAAAAAGATTGATTTCTTAATTCATTATGGTCTAAAATTTTGGATTTCATTGATGTTAGTGATGGGGCTATTTCTAATCCTGACATATGTTATTCTTGATTTTTTTTTAAATGATTTAATCTGTTCTACGTTTTTTCATTTATGGAGATTATGCTTATCATTTTTCTTAATTATTTTTATCTTTAATTTTTGATAAATAGTGAACTAAATAATTTTCATTAAATATACTTGTCTTCTGAGAGATAGGATATGATTTAGTTTTAAATGTCTTTGTAGAAAATTCAAATCTACAAGGTGATTCCTTGGCTCAGGGAACTACAAATTTACTGGCATAAAGATTGAGTCTATAACTAAAGCGTGTATACTGCGTACAATACTGAGAACACCAACTACGGATCCGTATGACTTTCTGGGACTGAGGGAGGATTGCTATATTTACCTGCATCACCGGCCAAGTAATAAGAGCGATTTAAACTACTAACAAGAGGGGTGGATTCCCAACATTAACCAGCCGCTTAGATACTAAACCGTACTAGCCAATTGCAACCCTACTTGCCAAAGACTTGCGAATACTAAACCTCTGAACTGGGACCGATGAAGAAGTCTCGATGTTCGAGGCTGAATTTCCAAAGTTGGAAATTGACTTTGTTCGATGGCGCACCCAGTATAGAACAAATGGAAGGTCAAATCCTCCATTTAGGCGCAGGAGTTGTTTCGTCACATTAAGAAATGCATTCTACTTTTCTCATTTGTGTTAATGAAAGGCTAAAAGGGAATAAAGCTGAGTACAAAATACTCATTGACTGTCTCATGGTAGCCGTGCAAATTTGTATAAGGGTTCTCATGATCTACAGAGATTCACAGATTGAGTTTATTTTCAATCTATTTGGAATTCACTGATTTTGGGTAAATTCCAAAAACATTGTTTTGTGCTAAGTTACGCTGACATTTCCCTCCTACAGTTGCCAGCTACTACAGTCGCAGGCCACGGTCTGCTGCTGCGTCAAATTCATTTTTTTTAAACCAAAAGGGAAAATGCTAAGTTCTGTATTTATTTTAAACTGAATCAAACAACTCTAAAATATTTCAAATTCAATACATTACTTAAGCACTGCATTTCTTTTTCAGTAAACTAAACAGCCCTCCAGAATAATTTATTGCTATTTAGGGTCTTTAAATACTCGTTTGTGAATTATGTTGCATGATTTTTTATATAATTTTAATTGAACTAGTTGAGTTCTATTTCAACTGGCCATTTAACTTTCAATGAGAAGAACGGTTCCTTTTGCTGGCAATATGCCTTCTGGTATATTATTACACTTTTCAAAGCATGCTATTTTATGTTACTGTGACAATATGAGAATGCATAAACCCTTCGAGGTGCCTTTAGATTCAATGAAATGAAACTATACTGAAAAATGAATCCCTTTGGTTTGACTTTTGGAATTTCATCATGAACTATAAAGTTAAACTTGCTCTTGTGGGAGCACTCTCAGAACGGGGTGTCCTCAACAATAAACAAAGCCTTGAGATTATTAGGCTAAAACGCCGATATCTCTAAGGATGAGAATTTGAGCTACTACTGTCTAGTTCATTGATATAAGTTAGTGTATTTTCTTCCACTTCCCTTTTTGAGAAAGTTATTTCTGTCTAAGTCGATCTTATTTTTGAGGAATATTTTTCATCTGTGCTTATTTTCAGAATGATAAGATTTTGTCTTCTGAATGATACTGTTCAAATTTACTTTGCACTGATTTCTTCATAGTTGGACTTCCCACAGATAAATTTTTGCCGGCCACTCCCGGTGGCCTCACCCTTGCAGAGAAAGACTTTATTGCAAGAATTTTATTAGCGTGCAACTATAGCTGCTTGTAAGGTGGGAAATATAACAAGAAAGAAGTTTCTTGAAGACCAATGAAGTGAAGCTACAAGTTAATATCCTTGGTGAGTATTGACATGATTCTTCTCCCATTTCAAATGCATACTTTTTCATTCATCAGGGATGATGTTAAGATTATTATTTTTAAAAGATTGATTTTTTGATGGAGAAAGTGTCCAAAATTAAAAAAAATTTAGAGGCCGTTTAAGCTTACTCTTGATTTTGATTTTTTTTATATTATTTTGCTTATGGTTTTACTTGAAATAAAATATATTTGATATGGCATAACATTTAGTAGTTTTTAAAAACATTTAATATAACATTTTTATTTTTTGAGTATTTAAAAAAATATTTATTTTTGTAAATAAAATAAAAAAAACATACAAAAATGCACTAAGCTAACATGTCTTTAAATAAAAGGTAAAAGCAAATACAAACAATAAAAAACAAGTGATTCCAAACAAGCCCTTTGTTATAGATATTGATTTGATTAATTTTTTTTTTGTTCTTAGATTCTTTATTGAAAGAAGATGTGGAAATTTCTGAATGCAAACTATTATATAGACGAATATTAAATCATGAATCAAGAGAATTACTGATGCACTTGTTCATAGCTGGAAAGCACAAAATTTGTTTTATTGTGATTATGTTGATCTATTTGGTTTAAAGGCAGAAGTATCAAAATAACGCTATTTTTTGTTTTAAATATTTTAATTGATAAGGTTGTTTATATTCATAAATATTCATAAAAAAGGCATGAAGAATGTTTATTACTAGTTTTTTGAACCCTAACGTAAGCTTGGCATCAGAACTATTGATGGAGAGGGTTTTACAGGTTTAAGTTCTAGTCTTAATCCAATTTATAGCGTGCGTTGTGATATTTTTGAAGTTTGTTTTTGAAAGGATTGGTGTGTTGGTTCAAACATTTGATGTCCTCGTTTTAAATTTTAGAATTACAAAAATAAAATACACCAAAATAATGTTGCATTTCTTGTGTAGTCTGATACATTCAGAACACTAGGCATTGAACATTGATTGATCTAGTAGATTAACTTTTCCAGATGATTGCAAGTCAATCCCAACAATTGTTTGACAATGATTCAAAAAAAAAGAAAAAAGAGTTTTCAAAATTCAGTTTTGAACATTTGAAACTCGTAAACTTTGTATGATGTGCAATTACATTTTGACACTTCTAAAAAGAAAATTACATACATACCAGATGATTCCTTTCTATTGACCTATCTAACATCCAAAATCTGACATTTACTTCTATAGCACTTTAGTGTCATAAACCCATGCATGAAATTTTGTATTTCACTTCAGTAATATTTTTGATGTGATATTAACTATTTGAGTGTTATGTATGTAAATATAAAAGTTTTAGGTATTAGAAAAATAAATTCATAAGATTCGTTTGGTATGGAAGTAAAAGCCCCTTTATTTTCCTTACATTTTCATTGATGTTTTGGTACCTTGTTTACATGATTGAACTGATCATGATTCGAAAGTCCTCAAACACGATATTTAGATAGTTACATCAGTATATGAATTAAAATATAGTTGTAGGGATCAACCGATACAAAGAGTAGGCCAAAAGACGGGATCAATTTAAAGGCTGTACATATTTTGTGGAGCTAAGCTAACCATAAGGAGAATTGACTCAAAATTCACGGGGAGCCAAGCAAACCATAATATATCAGGTCTGCAATCTGCTAGAACTAAAAATAAATATAGGGCTATAGCACATCAGACCATATTGAGAATGATTTCATTCCTCAGCAAAAAAATACATTTTTTTTAGCAATACACAACGGCAGATATCTTCTTGCTTAAAACACTGAACAAATTTTGTAGTAAATTTGGTAATGAAATGACAAAAACAATAACTACATGCACTTACTTACAAAACCTTACCTTATAATTAATCTAAAAAATGCATTTAGTTTAGAAAGCCGGTGGGTTGGCTGTCTTTCTGGGCCAAGATATCCACAACATAACTTCCAAAACAACTGTTGCTAGTAGAAGCAAACTAAGGTTGATTCCATAACCAATTTTCCACGAGTCTCCTGCACCGCCTACATGAATTCCAACAAAAATGTTAATTACTGCGAGAAGGAGAAGAAGCCTTCCGACCCACCAGTGATACCAGTTCCAGTATTTTCTCAGCTTATAATCCTTGTTAGGTCTCAGAAAAAGAGCCAACACCTGGAGAAAAAGTGATGAAATATTATTAGAACAATTTATATTCTTAGGATGGAAAGAACCCAAGATAGTGTGGAGACTTTTAATGATTCGATATTATGAGGATCCAATCTCAGCTCAAAATTGACTAAGAGCTTTTTTGTTCGATATTGAAAGGAGCTGATTATATATATATATATATATATATATATATATAGAGAGAGAGAGAGAGAGAGAGAGAGAGGATAGTATCATATTCTCTATATTTTTTAATGAAAGTGAAAACCCAAAGTTATAGATTTGTGGTCACTTGTGTCGCTATAGACATTAGTCATACCAAAAGTCATATTTTAACCGATACCTTGCCATTTTTCACCTGAGCTCTCTCTCTCTCTCTCACACAAATTACAATAACAGCCCTCTTTATAAGTTTGTATGTATACATTCCTTTACACATACAAGCATATATTTTTCAAGCTACCTCGATTTGATCCACTTATTAAACAATCAGTTCCATTCAACTCTATCATGGCTTGATAGTTTCAATTTGATAAAAAACAAGTCCAATTTTTAAGCAATATTCGATCTTGGAGTAATAAAACAGAGGAATACTCAAATCTTATATATTTATCAATTTTTACATGTCAGCTTATGCACAGAAATGTGTATTTCACTTTTTAAAAATTAAAGCTAGTGATACTTTTGATGTGACATGAAAGATTTGGGTGTTTTGAATGTAAAAATCAAAATTTAGGTGTTAGATATGTAAATAGATAGGAAATGTGTGGTACTCAAAGGATATTACCTGAAGGATACCAAGCACGAGGATAAAAACACCAAGGGACCTGTGTGACGATACACTTGCATGCAATTTATGATAAAGTGCAAATCCAGCAACCACCCCAGCTAGTCCAAGCATAAATCCAATAAACTGAATTGCTGAGTGAAGATAAAACCACAATGGATCTCTGGCTCTAAAATATCTTGCCACTATTGCCCCTATTGGCAGTATCACACCCCAACCAATTATGTTCAGTATGCCATGCGTCCTCTTCAGCTGGTATGGGTAGGACGAAGCAGACAAAGTCCCTATAAATGAATTTTTAGATCAATCATATTGTTGGGGGAACATTGTCAAAACTTGATTCATTCTTGGTTCTAAAATCATTCAAATTAAGTAGGATATCAACTACTTTGATTACTAAAGCGGTAGAAGTAGAACAAAAGCTTTCCTGCATTACTCCGTGGTGAAAGGGAAAAAAACTAACGGCGCATTTGCATAAATACCGCACAATTCCTATATGTTTACATATTTAACTCCTAAACTTTAGTTTTTAACTTCATAACACCAAAATCTTTTATATGTCACATAAAAAATATCATTGATTAACTTTTAAAAAGCAAACTATCCTTTTTCATGCATAGGCAAGGTGACATATGTAAAAGTTGAAGTTTAGGTGTTAGATATATAGATATATAAGAATTAAGTGGTATGATGTAAATCTTCCAAGAAGTAAAGAAATTAAGTAAAATGCTGCCCTTTTATTGAGAACTAACATAAAATACAACTAAAAATAACCACGGTGTTTAAAATTTTAGAACCTAACTACAACACTAGTTTAACAATAGCTCTATAATACAAAATGCTCAAACAACTAATAGATTCATATTCTGTTCGGGAATACATTTCATTGAACCTAACCAAAACAATGAAGAAATAATTTTTAATATTTTTGTACGCTAAAAAATGGCATGCATGAATCTCGAAATAATTTGAAGTTTCAAATTAAAAGAGATAAATCAAGGAGCATCCCTCTGACAAAAAGCTACGAATACTCATGAAGCTGACCGATTGAAGTTTGCCAGCCGACTGATGGTCAACTGACTGAAGGATTTAAGACCGATTGAAAGGTTGCCGATTGACTGAAGGCTAGTTCGACGATCAAATGATCACCTAGGCCGACCAGGAATAGACATTCACGCTAACGACTGAACAAAAGTCTAATACCCTAAACAATCTCACAAATATCAACGTGAGACTCTAAACAACTCCCCAAATAAATCTACAAAGATTACCAACAAACAGGCCGACCGACCACCCTAAGCCGACTAACCACCACTCTCAAAGACAATAAGCTTCCCAGAGCGAAGACTGACTGACATCCAGACCAAATAGTTGGCCGACGCCAGCTTGGTTGACCAACTCGAGGACCTGCTGGTCAGAAGGTCCAAACACAAAAAAAACGCCAAAATCAATTTTAAATACGAAAATATAAGACAAAAGACAATATTGTCCATTAATGCATTTATTAAAGTAGAGACAAATATGTAATTTTTCACTTTTGGCTTCTATTTTTTATAAATAAGGGATCCATAACATATATTAGGGGCTTTTGTCTCTTTAGGCTTTGGCCTCTTTATGCTCATCTTTCTAGACCCACTCTGAATGGAGATCTCTTTCCAATTCTCTTTTATAACCCCCACGTTACACTATATAAAATAGATCACAGAGCCCAAGAATATCCCAGTTCGCCCCTACGGGGCAAGTCAGTGTGCTCTATTTTTATTTTCTTCCTCTCTATCTCTCTCTACTTCTCTCTGAAGATTTCTATGCTTAGACATTTCTCAAAGTACAAATCTGGACAAAACAATTTTGAAGGACAATGAAAGCACTAAAATCCTCATTTTTGGAAGTTTTCACATAACATCACAAACGATATCATTTTTTCTACGGGCAAACAAAAAACAAACAAATGAAAATGAAGATGAAGATTTCAGTGGAAATTACTAGTGTAGAAATCAAAGGAAACAGATGTCTTATCCTGATGTCTCGTTAATCGGTCGTTAACAGGGGTGGCCGTCCCAAAAGCAAACAGAAGCTTCTGCTGTGTAATCCTACTTAGAAATTTCAACTGGAAGGCCATGTAGATGTTTGGTCCATTCTGAACAATGACAGGCGCATTACCTGCAGCTGGCAACTGTCCTTGATCAGCTAAAACTTGAGAGCTGGACCTACCACGCAGATAGAATTGCTTAATATGGGGTCGCCCGGTGTTTCCAATCCAGCCGACCATGGCGCTCGAGCCCACCATCATCCCATCCTTTGAGAATCCCATTCCAAGCCAACCAGAGGTGTAAAGCATAGAAAGCACGATCGTCAAAACATTATCTTCGTTTAGGGAATACTACAGTAGAGAAAAGAGAGTAAGTCATAAAATTAGCAGGAAGAGAATGCACATTTAAAAGGAGGAAAAAAACAAAAAAACTTCAAATATGAAAATAAAGTGAAAAATCTCAAGAAGCTGCCAAAAAAGAACTTTTTTTTTAGACATTAATGTTTTGGTCCATGAACGTTATGAAGATAAGAAATTCCGTATTATAGAGCAGATTGATTTTTTCACTGTTTGGTAATCGTCAACATTATTAATGCATAAAATGAAAAGCTAATGCATAAGCATACAAAATTAAAACAGGAAGTGCTATGCTTCCAACCCATAGTTAAGAAAAAAAAAAGTAGTTTTGATTTGGTGGCACTAAGAGAGAGAGAGAGAGATACACCAATAAAAACAGCAACAACAATAAGGCTTTATCACGCTAAGTGGGGTCAGCTATATGAATCTTTTTTCTCCATTGCATTTTAGAGTGTTATATTTTCATTTATTAAAATAGATTAAGATCTTTTTTTTATATAATATGTCCAAATTTTTTTAGGTCTATCTCTGTCAAATCATGATTTATTTTACAAATTTTATGCTGGTTGTCGACTAACTAACGCAACTCTCTACTTTTTATATCTAGGGCATGCGACATGGCAAACTGTAGATTTTTGATTGGATCTGATACACTGGTGCTGGTATGGTTGCACCGCAAAATGGGTTGGAGACCATTAATCTTTAGAAAATTCTATTAAAAAGCCATGCTATGGAGTCAAACCAACAGCCTCCCAAAATAACCTTGACGAGTTACATGACCTTTTCCTTTTATCAACCGGAAAAAAAAATCCCTTCCATCTTTATGTTTGATTTTTAGATCAAGCTTTGTGTTAACCTAGAATCCATGATTCAACATTTCCGCAGAAAATTCTTTATGTTTGATTTTTAGATCAAGCTTTGTGTTACCTAGAATCATCATCAAATGCATTATTTATGTCAAGAACAATCCTTTACCAACCCAAACGAACAAGCAATTCTATATATGCGATCCACACCTAATATTCTCTACCTTACGGTACTGCAGCTGGCAAAAAATTCGTTTGCTTTCGCTATTATGTAAAGAAACATAGGATCTGCATCTTCTATCAAAACAGAAGAATCTCACACCTTGGAGACTAACCCAACTAAACATTCAATTAATCAGCCCAAAAGGTTAGTATACCAACGAAATTCAACTTTGGTCTTATCCAATATAACAATCCTCAATTTAATCAAGTCAGTGTTTGGCAGCATAGAATTAATAGGATTTACGTGTAATTTTAAACATAAATCTATCCAAATCTTAAAAGAAGGCGAACCACATTTCCTATATCCAATTTCTATGTGGATTCAAACAATTTAGTGCACAAAAGAATTAGATCCAGACACAAGATGCCAAACACGTCAAATGAATTTATTATGAATTCAAAGCATCTGAATCTGATAAATTAGAATTAATCGGATTTCCTAAATCTTATGTAATTTATATCCCAGTTGCAGTCATCAATCACTCTAAACAATCTATTTCCCACTCCCCAACATCAGAAGATCCACAAAAAACCAAAACCAAATGGATTTCCTAAATCTTATGTAATTTATATCCCAGTTGAAGTCATCAATCAGTCTAAACAATCTATTTCCCACTCCCCAACATCAGAGGATCCACAAAAAACCAAAACCAAATACAAAATTTCAGAACTTACCCGAAGAACCAGATTGTTCCAGATCGGAAGGCAAACTAGAGTAATGTTGCCGTAACCTACAGGAAGAACGACGTTGGGTTCCACTCCGCAACGGTCAGCCTGCCCGCCAACGAGCGAGATGCTACCCAGAAGCATAACTAGAATAGAGAACGAAGCATTCGCCATCGATTCTATATTCGCCTATCTATCAATTGGCGAGCTAGAGGCGTCGGGAACGCGAAGGGAGTGTTTAGGGTTCTGCAATGTAAAGGGGAAGAGAAAAGGGATAGCGAGAGGAGAAGAAAATGGGCCGACGGTTGCGAGGTTCCATCACTTGCAGTTGAAGCCAGTAGTAGGAGACGTAGAGTAGATCCCACCACCATTATCGCGTCTCTTCAACTCAGATCTAAACTGGAAAATGAGTAAAAAAAAAAAAAAAAAAAAAAAAAAAAAAAAAAAATGGACGCCAACAAAAGTTCATAGTTTGGTAATAGAGCTGGGGTCGCGCAGCGCTGCTCCCTCCTCTGCGCCTAAAATTTGGATTTTTATTTGAATTTATTCGCAATTTGTTTGGATGCATCTTTTCTAAAATTTGCTCTATCGTAAAGCTTGATTATTTATCATTTCAGAATTTACAGATTAGTAATTTTTTTTAGTATTATTCGAGTTATGTTAAACTCCCTAAAAGTTACTCATAAAATCTTTAACATAAATATGGAAGAAAACTTTATTTTGTTGGAACTTTTGAGTATACTACATTCCAATTGCATGAGGTTTAAAAATTCAAACGTTTGGTTGAAAAAGTAAATCCAAAGCACATCCAAATGTGGAAGGATATGTATTGCATATCTTAAATTCATGTTTAATTCTAGTTCAAGTTTAGATTCATTTGTGGTTCATCCTAGCTCTAATTTGCCTTTGAGTTGCAATTTTAGATATTTGAGGTTCATCCTCGTTTTGAGTTGAGGTTCATCCTCGTTTTGATTTGAGGTTCATTCTTACCTCGTTGACAAGTTGGTCTAACTTCGGGCCACTTATAGACTATAGCCAACTAAGGATTGGCCGACTCACCTACCTTTATTTACAGGCTTAATTGCAAGAAAGTAAATTATATGTTTATCAAAATTAGCATAAAATAGAACACCATAAGCACAAGAATCATAAAATACTAAATAGACCTAACACAACTGTACTAGGCCCCCTATATTACAAGGCTGTTCTTAGGGGGCATGGCTTAGCACATGTAAAAAGGAATAATTTTTTTATTTTATATTTTTTGATGGTTTCCCTATGAAGCACAATGTCACGGACTAACTTTCCTCGAGTTATCCGTGCGGCTTTAGCGCTATTTCTTAGCACTAAATCAGCCTAACCTTCCCAACTAACAACTCAAAAGCACTCTCATGAAAGTAGAATAGAAAGAAGAGTTAGAGAAGATAAAGCTTCACTAATAAAGAGATACTTGAAAGCTTGAAACCTTGGATGCCTTAGAATGAGGGAGGGGACACTTATTAATAGCTTCCTCCATGGCTTTGGCCTTACATATTGCCAATGTGGGACTATTCTCTAAAGAGAGCTTTACAATATAATATTCTAGCTTCTAGATAATTCTACATTATTTTAATGTACATACATATTCTAGATTCTTCTAGGTTGTTCTTTAGGCCTCCATCTTCTAGAATACTCCTTCATGTCGTAATATTGGAGGGGCGTGACAACAAGCTCTTATAAGAAAATAAGTATCAGAATAACCAAAATAGTTGCCGTAACATCCAATCTAGCACATAAGCTACCATAAAATCCAGTCTAACATGCAATCCAAAACATCACAAACACATAAATAATCACAATCAATCATGATCACTGTTATACTTGACCTAACCTATATCTAGGGTTAGCACCCTAGCAAAATCATCTAAAATGTGCGAGACTTATGTGGTGGCCAATAAGCTAAACTTTATATTTCAAGTTGTTTAATCTTGATATTCAAATTTTATCAAAAGGTTATTTCAATTTAAGTGTTTATTGTGCTAAAGTGCTTGATTAATTTCTGATATTTTTTTATTAATTTTTGGTTGGGTTTACTAAAATATTTCTTAAATACCTATATTTGCTTAGTAAAAAACAACAACAACAACAACAATAAGCTTTTATTCCACTAAGTGGGGTAGGCTATATGAATCCTTTTTCTCCATTAAGTCCTATTGAGTGTCATATTTTTATTAAACTATAATACATTAAGATCATTTTTTATACAATACGCCCAAGTGTTTCTAGGTCTACCCCTGCCTTTTTTAATAGAAATCAAATCTAAAACATCTACTCTCCTAACCAGATCATTAGATGGTTGACATTTGATGTGACCAAACCAATTAAGATGACTCCCTCAAATTTTATTCGCCGCTGGTGCTACACTAACCATATCATGGATATATTCATGTCACATTTTATCTCTAAATGTAAAGTCACTCATCCATCTAGACATTCTCATCTCAACAACACTTAAAAAGCATATAAATTTAAGAAACATTTAAATTTTATAAAATAAAAAAATCACATAAAGAGATAATTTAGGATCTTATAAGATAGAATATAAATTAAAATTTAGATTTTGTATATTTTTATTATTTCTTAGGAATTATTTTTATTAAAATTTGATTTATTTTAAAATTTTCAAACTAAGTAAATATTTTAACCTAAATATATTAAAAATCCTATGAAATTAATTTGAGAAGTTAGAAATGACCTCAACTATGTTTAGTTTGAAGTTTGGAGTTTATTAAGTTAATATTAAAATCAGAGCTCCCAGTAACCTCCTTCAAGAAGACTCTTAGCCCTTGCACTTACTCTTCTTTCACGTAGATGTATGCATATGCAACAACTTGTAGTTCTTGTTTAAAATCAGGGCTCTAGTATAATTTGTGATTTTTATACATATCCATTTTTCATTGGCTTGTGCTACTTATTGTAAACTTAATGTGTTTTTGTATGCTTTACCTGAGTTTGAGACTTACACATTAGCATATTTAGGTGTACTTTTTCTAGCAACTCATCATATCTAACATGGAGGAGCTTAATAATAATTTAAACTAATGCATTTTTCTGCGGTCATTGCTTAGCTCTCCTGTCATCAAATATAATCTTCGATATGTTATACGAGATAGTTTGTGCTGACTTCTGTTTTGCAAGTTCAAGATTTGAATGTCTTAGATAATTGTATATATGCTACATAAACCGGTGAAAGCACCTTTGCTTTCTAATCTGATTGACCAAATACACGTTTTATAATATTTGGTGATTGTATAGTACGATATAGAATGTTAGAGCCTCTTCGAATCTTGACATGATTATAAGTTCTTAATGGGGCAGCTTAGCTTTAAAGTAGAGTTGTTCATTTCTTCTTTCTTCTGTATAGGTTTCTAGTCCATCCCCCTAACAGGTGTAATCCTTCTTCTACTTTTTTGGTCTAGATAGAGTCAAAAGAGCTTATATATTTCTTTCATTTGACTTTGGGTCTACTGGATCACTTCGAATGAAGTAACTCATAATAATTTAGGAGGACAAGTCAATTGAGTCCCGACCGAGCTATCTCAATAGGTCAAAAGAGCTTAAATATTTCTTTCATTTGACTTTGGGCCTACTAGATCACTTCGAACGATGTAACTCATAATAATTGAGGAGGACGAGTCAATTGAGTCCCGATCGAGCTATCTCAATAGGTTTAGGTTTTCTCTTTAACTTACCTGTTGATACCCCTTTAGGTATAGTCGTTTGATTTTTCAAGTCTTTTGTAGATGAGTACCGTATGCCCTCTTAGCTCAGTGATGGTTGTCTGTCAGGTTACAATAATTTATTTTCTGTTTGGTGGCTTAGTTTAGAATTTTCCCCAACTGGGACCACCGAATATCTCTTTGCCTACCTCTGTTTCAGGTCAACTAAAACAAACACAAATATCTTGAGTTTTCCTGGGTATCCCTTAGGATGTAATTGATTGCGATGATACTTCATCATGGGAGGTTTCTTTGAACCCAAAACAAAATAAATTTGATTTGGTTATGAAGTTCTTTTTATGAAGTTCAATTTATTTTAGAACACTCTTCTCTGGTTTACGTTACGAGTACTTTTTTATACAAATATCTTCTTAGCTACTTTTTTTGTTTGCTCTTAGTTTCTTTCTATCCGTACTCCTTTTCTTCTTTGCTTTTTCTAAAGCAAGGGTGACCTAGAAAGGAGAGATTTGAAAAAGAGGATAAACGCTAAGAAGACCATTCCGTTCATAACAAAAATAGGCGATAACAGGCTCAATTCGACCACTTCGATAGTTGGGCTTTGTTCGAGATTGACTTGACATTCAGATATGGGCTATTGAAGCCCATAAGGCCCGTTGAACCCTATGTTATGTCACTAAAAGTCTTGTAAGTATATAACTGTACTTGAGCATAGATGAAACA